GCGCCCTCCTCGCGGCCATGCTGAGGACAGAACGCGGTGGTCAGTGCCAGGGAGCGTCTCCGGGCAACACCGGGCCACCCATCCCTCTGTGGGGCCTCGGGTCTGGCTGGGAGGCAGCCCAGTGCTGCGATGCCCCGCAAGTCACTCAGCCTCTCGTGCGTCACTGTCTCCTCTGAGAAGCGGGAGAGCCTTCCTGGTGCCTCCTCCCTGGTGCCAGCGAGGGGCGGGCAAGACGGAAGAAGTCGGGCACCAGCCCTGCTATGGTCACTGGCACCAGAAGGCACAGTTCTCGGACATCACCGCCCTGAACTATTCAGTGCCTGAGTGTGGGGACGGCACGGTACCCCCATGAACAAGGGGGTCGTCCACACATCCAGAACATATTCTGGCATATTGAGGGTCTCATAAACGCTCAAGAACTAAATCAAGGTCAAGTCAGTGCCGATGCTATGAAACACATGCCCCAAGCACAAGCCAAAACGACCTGTCAAATGTCTTCAAGGTCCCTTCTGGATACCTTAAGGAAAAAAGTACTTAACATATTTTGCTCCTTTGGTGAGAAAGAGAATGTAAAATAAATGTCTCGTTGATAATTTTTTACATTGGTTACATGTTGAAAGAAAAATATTTCAGGACTGTAGGGTTATATATTATTAAAATTGATTTTATGTTTCTTTTTTAAGGTGATTACCAAAAAATTGAAAATTACAAATATGGCTCATGTTATAATTCTAGTGAACAATGTTAACCTGTACAAAAAAAAATGGGAGACACAAGGAAAACAGAAAAAGATATATTCTCATCCAATAATTCCACATTCAGAAGTTTACCCACAAAAAGTAGGAGAGAGGCCTGTATCATTAGAGCTGGAGGGATTTCCACAATGAACTGGGAAAAACAGTGTGCTGCACTGGGGTGGGGCGAGAAAAAGGACCCAAATCCCCCAAACACATGTATCAAAGCAGGACTGGAAACCATCACACAGAAAAAAGGTCATGTGGGAAGAAACATTTGCACAGCTGACTTTTCCCTAAGGAGTGGCTGCACTGGACAGTGAGTGACCCAACCACTGCCTCAAACTGGTGACTAAAACAC